ACATGATAGGAGGATCCTTGATATGGAAATAAACATGGATAGGTCTAATTCTTGCTTGCATATGTATCAAACTCCTTACGTGCTTAAAATTTTAAAAAAATTTATCATGTTGATTTTGTGCCTCTTAGAAACCATTTTATTTTGTCAAAAAGAACAATCACCTACTAATGACGAAGGAAAAGATTTTATGAGTAGAGTTCCCAACTATAATGTCTTTAGCTCTATTATGTACCTTATGGTCTGCAATAGACCTGATTTGGTTTTCACTGTGGGTGTATTAAGTAGGTATATGTCTAATCCCGGTCCCAAACATTGGGAAACTTTAAAGTGCTTGTTTAGGTACTTGAAGAGTACATTTGATATGGGGTTAGTTTATAAATCTGCCAATGAAGGTGTGAAACTTAAAAGTTTCACGGATGCTAACTATAATGGTGATAGAGATAATGTGAGATCTACTTACTCTTATGTGTTTACTTTATGTGATTCTTTTGTGAGTTGGAAGTCTCAACACAAACATATTATTTTTCTATCCACTACTAAGTCTAAGTATATCGCTATCACTGAAGCTATTAAAAAAGCTTTGTGACTTAGAGGTTTGCTTAATGAATTGGGTGTATTAAATGATAATGCAATTGTATTCTCTGATAGTCAATATGCTATTCATCTATGTAAGAACCCTTGTTTCATGAATGCACTAACCATATAAATGGTAGACTGCATTTTGTTAGAGATGTGGTATCTCAAAAGTTGATGAAACTTGAGAAAGTGTATTCAGATTATAATCCTGTATATACTGGTACTAAGGTTATCCCCTGGTAAAGTTTAGAAGTTGTTTTGCACTTCTAAACATTGGTAAAAGTATGTCGTTTCAGTTTTGTTTTGAAATCACATTGTACGATGCTACACTTATTTTTTCTTTTTGCAGGTGCATCTGGTATCAATGTACAAGTTTGTTAGGCATTTGATACCAAATAAAATCCCTCAGCAATGATGATAAACCTGGTCGAGCTAAATTTATAGGCTTTGTTCAAAGCCCATTATTGAATACTATAAATTAATTGACCTAAGGTTACAATTAGCGGGCCAAGGAATCAAAAGGGACCAAGAATCTCACATGTGGTGATTAGTGGTGATTAGGGGCTCGACCTAATTATTTACTTGGCCTATTATTTAACCCATCCTTATTCCACTTGTATAAGTGGACTTTGTACATTTTGAGGTCATTACATACAAACACACGGGTGCTTCCTTTGGCTTTTGGCTGCATGATTTCATTTGTGGTTTTTTTGGCTCTCTGCCCTCTTCGTGACCACGCCTCCTATTGCCGACGTCTATCGTCGGATGTGCAACCCTGGCTGGCTGTCTCTTTTTGTGCCTCGATGTCTCACCCCTTTTCGCCCCTTTGTACGATTGATCTCTATCCCCGTTCTCGGCATATTCTGTGGGCGAATACTTCAAATTTTAAGATTCTTTGGTCCAATCGTGTGGAGTAACCTTGAATTTGGATCAATGAATTCCATTATCCATCTGATTCCAAACGTGGTTCTTGATTGGGAAGTGGTTATCTTGCAATTTCTATCTTTTAATTCGATTATCTTTATTTGGTTTAGAGTTAACTAAGGTTTTGAATATCTCTATTTGAAGGAATCATTTTACAACACAACATAATAAAATTTCAGGTCCCATCTTATCCTATTAGAGCATCCATGTAATCAATAACATGCAACAAATAATTTCACCAAAGGATAGACCTATCATTCATCCTGATCAACATATCAAATCTTCGCATTTAACTCCTTTGATAAGGATGTTAGCATAAATCCCGCAAGTGTGGTTAACAAATATATGCGAAGTGTTGATTATCGTCGCATGATGAATACATTCTAATTCAAGTATACTAGTTTTCTATCAAATTGGAATTGCAGTAAACACAAAAGAGATTTGTTGGTTGTAATCATTCTAAGAATTATATAAAAAAAGTTTGTTTGTATCACATCCTGGAATGATTGTATTAGATTTGGAATCCACTTATTGTTATCTATTTCAATTTTCATGACAATCGATAAATCCATTATATTTAACTTTCTTATTCAAAATAAGTTAATTCTATTCTAAATACGATATGATCATATTTCAAGTTCGAAAGCATATGTATAGCACGAATTCAAGCACGCGATTATCAAAGATATTGCACACTCCATACATGTTATTTCTAACATCTACTACATGTGTGTTAATTGTGCAGGTTTCTAAACCTATTATAAGTCTTAAACACTGCAACAAGCAGCTAATTATCTAAATGGTGCACAAGCATTTAAATAATGCAACAAATTATATATAATTAATTAAGAAACACAAGAATTACTAAACTACTTATCTTTGGATTACAAATAAAGGGTTCGTCTTCATTCCATACAAATAAGTATTTAGCCTCACATGATTTCTATTAAATTACAAGAAAAATAATGAATAGACGTCGCCCGGAACATGAATGAATGCAAAAGATCATGGTCTTCAATTTTAAGCTCAAAATTTTCAAATTCTTTATGTAATTAGCCTTTAATTCTTGCCATGTTGATCTTCTCTCCCCCAAAATATAGGAATTCCACTTCTTATTCTTCAATAATTTTATGATATGAATGTGAATCAAGAGGTTAGAGAGAGACCCCCTAATGTTCTGCCTTGTCTTGTATTTATAGATGGTGATCACGTTGAAACTGCATTCCAAAAGAATTTTGATCATAGAAGGAAAGTTGTCCAGAATTGCCCATGCTCACACATGGGCATTCTCCTTGCCTACGCATGTTAGACTGAAATTGCTCTTCGGATGCTAAAGACTAAGCCTTGACATGCTCTTAGTAAAAAATATGTTAATTTTTAATGAAAATTAAAATATTGAATTTAAATGATGAGATATTTTTAAAAATATATAAAACGAGCAACTCTAAAATAACGATTTCTATTGAAAAAGAGGTTTCTCTTTAAAAAAATGGGGGGTCTCTTAAGTTTTTGAACATAAAAGGATACTTTTAGAATTATCCCTCCTAAATTTCAACAATGATTTAACATTTAGTTAGACTAAACTTCAAAACAAGAAAATATGATTTGCAAATAAGAGTGCACCTTAGATGGTCAACAAATAGTTGACCATTTTTTTCCTATCTAAGCTAGACAGGACATTTCCTCCATGCCTTGTGCTCAGGCATGCTGAAACCATCAAAACCTTTCATTTGCAGTCACGGTATCAAACATTTTATTTAGTCGCTGACTTTATCCAAACCTTTCATTTGTACCACCGTGAGTACCAAACCTTCAAAAAATTCGCAGCTCAATTCCAAATGGATGAAAACCGTTAGTTTGACTGTTAGTTTTGACCAAATCAACAAATGGCAAAATGATAACTTCATAATTTTAACATGAAAAAAAAAAGGAAAATAAAAAAAAATTAACACTATTCACCTTCTTATCTCATCCACCCCTACCCCACACTGCATTGCCTATTCCGGGCCGACAATTGAGTGTCTTTTCACCTTTAGAAATTCATCAATGGAGGAAAAGCATAAACAAAGAGATTCCAATTTACCTTTCTTCAAGAAATACTCACATCTCTTTGCTCAAACACTCTATTCTCCACCATCTTCACTTTCCACACTTTCATTCGACTGTACTTCCCAGCTTTTTTTCATGGACTCATTTTCTCCCATGTCCTAATTTCAACCTCAATTATCTATCTTCTCCGTCTCGATGCAAGTCAAAAAACCCAGAAGGAAACTGGATCCCATTCCTTGGAATTTGATTCCACCCGGAAACAATTGCCACAAAATGAAGAATTTTCTAGTCATGATCTCAACCGGGTTTCGTGTGAATCCCATAGCGACCCGAATCAAAATTTGAATTTGGGCCCAAGTTTTTCGACTAGCTGGTTTTGTGGAATGGGACGTGAGGGCACCATTGGAGGTTATACATGAAGAAGACAAAGGTGAAGAAGAAGGAAACCAGAGGTTTTGGGAGGAAAAGAGAGAGGCACAGATGCTATAATTGAAAAATCGCATCTTTGTTACTATATTACCCGTAAACCGACACAAACACTTCATCGGAAGGAGGTTCCCGGACGATCGAAGACTGGGATTCATATGAGAATTTGTGCTTCCGATGTTGTCGGCCCCGAAATAGGCAGCGCAGGGTGGGTTGGGGGTGGATGAGATTTGTGACGAAGGTGAATAGTGTTACATTTTTTATTTTCCTTTTTTAATGTTAAAATTATAAAGTTATCATTTTGTTCTTTATTGATTTTGTTAAAATAATTTTTTGAAGTCAACTAACAATTTCCATCCATTGGACTTGAGTTGTGAGTTTTTTGAAGGTTTTGTACTCATGCGGATACAAATGAAAGATTTGGACAAAATCTGCTACTAACCTACTAAATAAAAGATTTGGTACCGTAGTTGCAATTTTCCCTTTTTAAAATAAAAATTCTTACCTTTTGCTACCTCTGATTTCAGCTATACTTCCCCCAAAAAAAAAAAAAAACTTCTTAATTCAAAAAATAATATTATTAACTTTGAAAAAAGCTATTTTACCACGCCTTCTCATTGCTGTTTCAATGTTTTTACTTGACAAAACACAAACTATAAAGGAAAAACGAAACCAAACAAACACGTTAACAGAACAGGAATCCTTACACAATGTATAGGTGGTTGATTCATCTTCAACCTCCATGACCACGATCATTTAACAAATAAATCTTATTTTCGATAAATTCAACTTATTGAAAAAAAGAAAAAAAAAACACAGCAAATGGTTGCTCTAGCAAAGGTTTTCCAATCTATTGGATAGAGAGGAAACTCAAAAATGTCAAAGAATAAATTTTCAACTTATTACACAATCACGAAAACGAACAAAATTTTTCCAACAATCTCTATTGAATTGTGCGTATAAAAGATAACGTTTGTGAGATTGCATCGGGAATTAATTCTATCCAATGTGTAGCAGGTAGCTTATCAGAGTTTTTCCAAAGGAACCAAACTACTCCGGTTATTAGACTGGTCATCTCCATAAATTACAGTTTCCTTGTGGAACTTGATTTGGCCTTCAGGTTTCGGTTGTGGTTCCGAGTGCCTCTCGTCTGGAGGTGAAACGCGAAGCAAAAACCTATGTATCATCTCATAGCTGGTAAAAGTTATGACAGCAGATGGAGTCGTTCGCAAAAGATTAGTAGCACAACCACGATAAAATCCCTTAAGACCTTCCTTTTCAAAAACCTTCTTAATGCAATCAAGAACACCATCATATTGCAACCCCGAATTCCTCATTTGTCCTTGCTCTTGCAACCTCGACCGCACTACCTGGTGAATACATAGTTCAGACATTACAATATGTTCAAAAGCAGGTGCAACGAATCCCCTATCCCTCCAAAAAAGGGCGGTGGAGATGAAGACAAAATCAAGACACTACCCAGTCGTTAGGTCCTTTCAGAAATGTTTACATGACTATTCACTAGTGACTCGTCAAGCAACATATGTGTAAAGTGTACCTCATGTGGGTAAGTCGAAACAGAAGCAATCACTTTTGAAAATGAAGAGGCAATTGCAACTTTCCCAGGGCTTAGATCATTGGTGCTCTTGTTTTCTGTCATACCATAGAACATATGATTAGAGTCAGACAGCTCATAGGCAAGAAATTAGTTCTTTCAGCGAAGACCATAAAAAGAGGAAAAATAAGCAAAGCACAGACATAAGTATCAAATCTTACCCCGTTTTGCTAAGTAGTATTTTATCTTCTCATATGCAGGGAACTGAATAGCAACATGACTAATCCCAGCCAGGGAAGGCAGAAGGCCACTGTATAAGCCACATAAAATATTTAAATTGAATATATTAATTATGTGAGAGAGACAGATAAACGAGAGACCGTGCAACTATTTTTCTTTTACCACAAGAAAAAACAACACAGATTTTGTTACCATTCAATTTCACTAATTCATACTACATTTCCAGAACAAAAAAAGAAGTACGTTCAAGCAACAACATACAGCAATCCAACATCACAAGGGTAGAAAAATGAGATTCTCAATTTTAGATTTTGAATACTGAACTTTAAAGGACTGACCTATACCATCCTCGGATTCCTTCCTCTTGTGCAATGCGCCTCAGAGCAGAAAAAATGCTCTTATAAGGAACAACGCCCTGCCTCATTCCCTGTGTCTAAACAAAGAGATGAAATATTAAATGAGTTTCTTGAAAAAATAGCCATCAAAGAATATAGAGATGCGAAAAACATCGTCAATAGGGAAAGATACAAGAACCCTATAATCAACCCTTCATTCAGGGGTCACAACACAACTAGTTTCCCAAATTATCAAATAATAACTTCTATAGAAAAGAAACAGACAAAAAGATTCACAAAGGCAATAGACAATAGGATAAGTCCAAAATCAAATTATATCTTCTGTATGACATTAATTAATTAGTAGTGATACGATTTACTACGACCATTTGAATATAAAGGACTGGGGTTATAAGAACATCCCAACCTACTTGAAGTCGTGTCTTAACAACCCACAACGGATTTGTTGCAATGGATGTTGCAGCCCCAGCTCCCGAAGCAGCTATCATGTTTAAGCCAAATGAAAGCTGATCATTTCTATCCTCTGTATGCTCACAAGACAAGTTCCCAAAATTAGATAAGATTATAAGTACCAATATTTATATTCTATCAACAACTATAATAATCAAAAGTAAGTTAAGGGCCAGTTTAACCCATGACAATTCGAATAAAACTTCAAAGTGAACGTAAGAAAGATAGCCAAATAAATATAGTAAAACACGGACCATGTGAATGCAACAGCTCTTTGAGGTGTCCATAAACAGTGAAGTAAACCTACAAATGACAAGTATTCTGTTAGCTACGGAGAAGAACCAAACTATTTGAACTTCTAAGTACATGAAAAACAATTGAAAGGCAATACTCAATTGAAAGGTAAAATACTCACTGCCCAATTTGGAAGTAATGCTGTCAATGTTGGTGAAAGGCCACGGTACAATCCCTTCACTCCTTCATTTCTTACAATGTTCCGTAGGCTTGTCAAAATAACACTTCCTGATTGTCATGAATAAGGAAAATAGCATGAGGCTACAATTGATATCTTTGAGCAGAAGGAATGAACTTGTGCAATCTAATGTGACAGAAAGCTAGTTTTCAGAATTCAGATTCATTTCATCTAACATCAAGTGCTTTCCATTATTTTGAAGCTTGTTGCATCCTTCTCAATCCAGAATGCCACACAATTGTATTACAATATAAAAACTAAGGCTATATTTTGCATTTTTCCTAATCTACTCAATTATGTAAATTAATAGTGAAATTCTGTATGTCATCCTTGATAAAGCCATACAAGCATTAAACATTTTTGCGAGGCTGAGGCCTCCAAGGGGCTGCCTTAGGTTAGGTCTTAATGCATCAAAGATCCCTAGACCCAAAGACAATAATGCTACCCTATCAATAAAGATAAAACATCAAAGATAGTCCCAAGATACAAAAGATAAGCATTCCCATCAGATAGAGTAAAAGAATCACACTTCACATTCATACCAAACATGGTGGTGTAAAATGAAAATAACTGACCCCTAATATCTTAGCAGGACCAATAGGAATTGAAAGGGCACTGATTTCACCATGCCTCATTCTTTTACCAAATAGGAGTTACATATATAAAAATCTATCATCAACATCGGTCGATCAAAACATAAAAAAAAAAAAATGGGAATTCTTTATCTGTTTAGCTCAGAATCTTCGGATCTTCTAGTCTCCTAACTTTGGCAAGATGAATAAATGCCAAAATGGTAGAATATACCTTCTACTTCTACTTCTACATCCAATCACACTTCGATTAATTATTCTCTTTCCCTTCAGTCTCTACCACCCCTCCGGGACACCCTCTCTTTCCCCATTATCCCAACCACAAAAACAAAAAAATAAATAAATCACACTACTCTATAAAGGTTTGACAAATATCAAATAGTGCTTTTAAATGATTTTATTTGGTCACCACCGAGATTGAATCAGAACATTTAAACACCGTGCCTTTTGCAATCCAATTGAAGAGGCTTTAAGTTCATGCAGCCATGAGAGCAATAGACATTATACATGAAACACTAGCTTTAGTTTTGTATAAACGTAAACTATAAAACAATTCAATAGGTTTAATATTGCTAAATTTAGACACCAAAAGGATGTATCCAGGATACTTTCATTCTGAATAGACCACTAGTAAAATTGAAGCGGACATAGAAGCTTTGGAAATATCCCAACTCCGAAGTAGTTCTTTCTTCTTTAGCTTATAAGAAGCCTTTTTCTTTTACACGGAACTCTATTTGGATCCTCCATCTGAGAGGAAAAGACAAATGATGGAGAGAGCTGTTTTCCTTGACACCCTTATTAATCCAGTAAATTTTAGAATATTCTAAATTTCTCTTCCAATCATGTAGGCTCGGTAAATGCATTTTGTTCTTTTCTGGAACCATTCGTCGAAAAATGTTGCCCTCTTTATTTTCTTGTCTTTGTTACTGATATCCAGGATCCAAGTAGACATCCCGTTAGAGGTTTCTAAAATATAGTAGCCTTTGTTTCACATAGGCCAATTGTCAAATGTTTACGTTAATTCTCCATACCAAATCTTGTGAAGTGCAAGTATAATTCTAATGCTAGACCAAGATCCCATGAATTCCAAATGGCACACAGACATGTACATAATCGAGCATTTTGAACTTTATTAAAAGCAGAAAATAAACCTTTTAACTACTGAAGAAGCAAACAATTAAGCACTGTTTATCTACATTATTACATAATTTGTCAACAAAACCCAGTCATTATAGTCGAATCAAGCAAGGGAAAAATCATGATCTTTCCTTATTCCAAAAGAAGAGATTTAACAAACCTTTGTGGGAAGGGTGAAGTTCAGGCAGACCATGGACTTGAAGTCTTGTCTTTATTACATCCAACGGACAGACAAAAGTTGCAGCTATTGCACCTAAACAAAAATACCCGAATTTGCATACCAACATCAAAAAAATCAATCAAATTCACAGACCCACATACCAAAAATGAAAATTAAACAAAAGAGTAGGGTTTTGTTTTCCAAAATTGAAAAGTATCTTACCCGCGGCGGCACCGGCACTGGCATCGTAAAGTACGTCTTTGACGCTCCGACGGTCACAAGCGGCGGTGCCCATTTTAATATTTATAAATTAAAATAAAAAATAAAATCTCAATCCAGAGAGAGAACTGGAAATTTAACCAATAAATGGGTTGAAGAGCTGAATAAATATATTTTTTTTTTTTTGGGCAGTTCTTGTCAAATTCCTATATTCCCCCCGTTGTTACAGCATTATATATATCCATGGACACGAATTCCTGTGCACCTTCGCGGCAGGGGTGTGCTTGACACACAGAGAAACGAAGACGGTGTGTGTTTTTGACCTGACTCGACCGTGTTTGAAGGGCAATGAACCTGAAAGACTGCGTGGGTGCGTGCGATGGGAAAGAGAAATACTTTTTTTTGGGTTCACTTTTTGGTAAGAATTAAGCCAAACGTACAGGACACCTCTCACGTGTGGGATCCACCTTAATAAAAATTTAAAAAAAATTACACATCCCCTACGTGTGAGTTAACAGAACCCTACCCTTTACACGAAGCATGATTGTTTTTGTAAAGTGGTGGGGGCTTTTTTGACGAAGGCTCGTTCTTCAGTATTTGTATGAGGAAAC